AATCTGTGCTACTTTCCGTACGCTGCTTGTTACATGATGAAAGCCTATGACTGTCAGCACCATGTGGTCAACTGGTCAAGCACTGATGTCGTTCAGATGCCGTTTCGGATGTCGTTCAGATCGCCCATCAGAAAAATGAGGAAAAACAATTACCATCATGGATACAAATTTGTAATATAGTATATACCTATCCATCTATCTATCTATCTATCTATCTATATTGTTTACCGACGAAGTATGTCGTTTAGATGTCGTTCAGAATGCCGTTTCCAAGCTAAACACATGATTTTCAAACTCAGTTCACCACCAGAAATCGTTGCGGCAGTGCAGCAGCTAATTCTGATCCCTGGGATCGCCCACTACATATGCACATCTGACAGTGCATCGTTTCTTAGTGAGGTGGCTTGGTTCCACTCAGAATGCGAACATTCGGGCCCCGCTTATTATCCTCACCCGGAGCTTTCTGGCAAAACACGATCATGTCATCCAAATGCTCGGACAAGGCCTCAGCCACATACGCGGCCGCCTTGGGTGAATGCAGCCGGCCATTCAGCTTGAGGGAGCCAGCGGTGATGCTGAAAGCGAAAGTTGGCCGCCCAAGCTTCAGAAGGATCATCCCACAAAGCATCTTCATGAAAGCCATCATCTTCATGAACTCTGCAAAAAAGACACCGTCGGCCGGACACGGAGTTCGGCGGGCTATGGCGGAGGCTTCGCGTAGCCCAAGTTTAGGCACGCGCGCCCGTGCCTGAGCACTGGGCGGCCAGTGCTAAATTAAAAGACTGTGGGAAGGAAATTAAAAGACTGTGGAGTGGAAGAAATCCTGTGGGGATCAAAAGCCCCACTGAAAAACACCAACGGCCTTCCAGTTGGTACGGATGAGACATGAACATAGGCAGGCAAGGTCCAATCCTGAAGTGCATCAGGGAATAACGAAAGCGAGAGAAGTCATCGATTCTTCTTGATTTGAGGTGTTTCCGAATTTCTTCCTTTCACAGTATATAGAGGCTTCTGGCCACTAGCAGCTACAGACCATGTGCCACTAGAGATTCGGCGCATATAGATCATATAGGTCGATCTGCGTCTGACAAGCTAGTTGATACTGCTTGTGGCCAAAGTGGTCTCTCAAAAAGTCTTAAACACTTGAGCTCGACTTCTGCGTGCTTTGAGCCCAAACGACGTGTTGGAGACATTGGGTGTCATTCAGGCCGCTCATGTCTTATCATACTCACATGGGGTGGGTATGAAGAGCCTTTGTGCCGTTCTGCTCCCCGGGCCCCGCAGGGCCCCGGCCCGGGCCCTGCAGGGCCCTGGACCCTCGTGGCAGGACCACTGTGGGGGTGAGCTAAAGCCAGTGCCAATGACGTGCTGACATCCAGAAATGCCTTCAGAGAAATAAAACATGGGGGTGCACATGAGACACCACGCCCATGGGGCCCTGCAAAGCTCCATGCCCATGGGGCCGCAAAAATACCACCATGGGCTGGTTCTCTCAGACCCATCTTTAGTGCTGGATGGTGTGCATCAATTTATGGTATTAAAGGGATTGGTGGTTGTTGCAGTGGTCCAACGACAAGTACAGTCACTTGTCTAACGCTACACTCATATACCAACAAAAGGGCAGGCAAAATTATGTAGAGGCAAGTCTGTTCAGTGTCCCATTCGGGGAACTTTTGATGGCGGAACATAGGCTTGGTGTGTCCGAGCGTTGCTGTAGCACATCGAGGGGACCAAGGTCATTTGGAAGCACACTCTTCCTTTCCAGTAGATGCCCTAAAACGTTCTCCTACTCGATGGCCAACGGCAACTGGTGCTGAGCCATAAATTGAGATGAAGCTGTGGGTCAAAACCCAAGAACCGTAATCCCTGCTAAGTTGATCCCCCTGGATCTTCTGCTCATTTTTGGACCCAGGAATCCACCCGCCCAATCCTCCCGCTGGCCCTCTGCTTCGTCTCTGGGGTGATGCCATTCTTCTTGCACAGAAGTCCCACCTTGTCTAAGCAAAGCTGCGAAGAAGACGAGTCTGGGTGGCCAGCGAAAACTGGCGTTGTATCTGGGTACATCTGGTTGTATCTGGATACATTTGGGTCATGGTTAACAATAGAGGCTCACGACCAATCTGTTGTTTTTTTTTCTGGCCCAACCTGGGCTAGAAGTGTCATGCTTCCCCAGACACACCAAAACCAAGCTTCAGGAACTCTGCGGTTTCACCCTCACTGTGCCAACCTCCACCCATGCCCACGCCACACGACGACTGTTGAAGAAGGTAGAAATCCCGCACCATCTGAAATCAAACATAATTAACAATACATAACATCAAAAATTACTATTATATGTACAATGCTTTGGCGGTTTCAAGTGGTACATGGTGGTACAGGATTGCAATCTAGCAACCTAGGTTTGATCCCCCTACCCTTCCAGCAGCCTCCGTCCATCCTTTCTTGCAGCCCTTCTCATAGCACTGGTCGAGCACCTCCTCGAGATGGGCGGTGCTCGAAGAAAGGAGGGATGCTACATGAGGCGAAGGATAAGAAGTTCCTCCAAGAGGTTCATGAGCATCCAGGATGTGTACATATCTGTTTCTTGGTAAGGTTCAAGAAATACTGTTTAGTATTCAAAGCCTTTTGGGAGGAACCGGTTTCGCTTCAGGAATGGACCTGGTTCTTCTTCTTCCCAAGTTTCGTTGGTGGGGAATGGGATCGGGCTTTTCTGGTCCAGAAATACCCATAGACTCATAGGACCAGGCCGCACAAAAGTGTGGCGCCCGGGCTGGCTTGATAGACCCCTAGTAACTCAGTGTCTTTTTCTTGTTTCGCCCACCGCGCTTTTTGGCCATCCAAATCCACGGACCTCATAGCCATCCGCGCAGAACTCGTAGCACTGCCGCAGCACTTGATCAAAGAACATCCCATCGGTACACATTGCCACCTGCCAAAGGCCACTAATGGCCACAGGGGAGGGTGGGGCGGTTGGGAGTTTAAGAGACCACAGCTTGAGCAGAAAACCCTTGACAAGAGGTGGACGACTACACTGCGTTGAGTGTTGAGTCTTGACCTAAATCTGTCTTGGCGCTGTTCAAGACTTGAGGGTGCTTGGAAGTCTGTATCTTTTTTGTTGGGTTTCCCGGCGGTGCTTCCTAAAGGCAAAAAAGAACTTCCAAAATACCTATACAACCTCTTGTCGAGTGGTGTCTAGTGCAGGCCTGTCGCGTGGGTAGCCTGGCAGATCCTGGAGGTACTCCTTTGGTATACCGGACTTACTTCGATCAGGCCCATGGACTGAGGGAGAAAGACAAGTTGATCCGGCTGGAAAGGATCCTGCACCAACCGCACCACCTCAATACAGACCATTTGGAAGCAAGTTGATAGGGATCATCTCAGAGGAAGTGCCGGATTTCTACCTTCCCTGCAAGGTGCCACAAAATGGGAAGAAATGAGCCTGCAAGGTCTTTTGGGAAGGCCTCTGCGAACCCAGAAATTAGAGGCTTGTCAATCAACTTGTCCTCCCACAAGCCATGGCAGCGCGACTCCGCCTCCCCCCCTCCATCTGAGGATTGTAAATGCCCGGCACCGGGGATTCATCATCCACAGCGCCAATGTCGTTGTCCGGAATCCCCTGGGGGAGACGGCAGGCAGACGCTGCGAAAAGCAAACAGCTCGCTCTGTGCACAAGCACACGCGAACACTCGGTGCTATCCATGACAGCACCGTCGAATAGAAACATACAGTGGGAGGTGAATTCCAAGGTTTGCGAGAAATCAGCTGTCTCAGTCGAGTTGTCTCATGACATCCCAAACAACATGATGTCGATGCGCCAAAAAAAGACCTTTCAAAACCCATTTGAAAAGGCATGAAAAGGCTACTATACCCCTTAGCAGTCTGCGTTGATAGCCTTCCAATCGTCCTCTCAAAAGCGATTGCCGGGTCACCCCGGCCACCACGTGGGCGGCCCAACGTCTTCCGTTATCTCGATCCACGAGACAATGTAACGAGTCGGAGCCGGAGACCACCGTGGCCGGAGACCCTGTTTCGGGCTGGTCTGATACATAATACGAATTCAAATTATATAATTAATATATCTCGGCGCTGGTGTGGATATACAAGGAAGGTTGAATTCCTGGCTCACATTAAAACAGTATGTACTTGTACTCGTCGGCATGAAGGGTTCACCTACAATAGGTGGCATGGCTTGGTGCGTGCGTATCCCATGCGGCCCATGCACCACTTTCATGTGAACACAAATCGGAATGTGCCGGCTCCCTGCCTCCTTTCAGATGTTCAAGCCACACCCGCATCAACCGCATAGACCCTGCGTCTAAGTTACGGATGCATCCACCGCCAGCCAGATGGCCGCGGCGTGCTTCGCAAGTCTCCACGCCATGGCTCCGCTCAGGCGCCGCCGCGAGGGTCTGAGGGTTTGGGTCTGCGGGCCGACGAAATCACGCTCAGCACTTCTTATTAACGCAGCGCCCATGGAGGTTTGGAATCACACCCATGCAGTACAGAGTCCTACCCAGAAAGTGAGCCCATAACGGAAGAGAATGCTGCCAAGACATGTAATGGGAAGTACTTCTGCTCCCCCAGCTCTTGATCCCCATGGAAGACTGAACTTTGCAGTAGCCTTCTTTCGTAAACAATCAACTTTCAAAAAGTTCATCAAATTCGAAGATCCATCCTCTAAGCACCCCAGATTCGCAGTTGCCCATCACGTGGGCGACTGGCGCGCACGTCACTTCTGCGGAGCGGAACCCCTCCCAGCAATGCATCAAAAGAGAGCATGGAAGAACTTCGGCAGGGGCCAAATCATGCGAGTACTCTATTGGGAGTTCTCACTGACCTCGGTCGTACTCTATCGAAGTCTCTTCGGAGTACTCTATGGAACTCTCCAGTTCTGATATTGATCAAATTGGGAGTACTTGTTCTCGGTGCATCTCGGTGCATGATACGTGGCGCGCCGAGTTCTTCAGCTCCGGAAGTGGAGTGGGCCCCACACCATGGGCCTCATCCAGGCAGCAACGGACCAGCATCTGGCCGTAGAGGTAGTAGTCCTCAGCATCCTGGGAGAGTAGTGCCCCGGGAAGCACCACTTGCACCAACATTCTTGGCATTTGAGTGAAGGAGTGGCCTAGCCCACTTTATGAATGAGGTAGTGGGACTCGAACACCTAGGATCCTGGAAGTTTTGAGTCCGGAAGGGGTGGCACACTGGTAAACACAATGTTGAAAGGTGCTTGCTGGGACGCTGCGCTGGCGTTTTTGGCGCTACAGCTGGGAAAACACCAAAGGATACAGCTAAATGCATGTCGAAGTAGGTACTTCCACAGTGGACATGACAAGCCGCAATGTGACACGATATCAATTTCCTGCTGGCTAAGCGATCCTTCACAATCCTCTTCCTGGTTGGGTGGCCCAACCCAGAGGCCCGCTTTATGACCACGCCTCAGATTGCAGCCGGCTGAACAGCACTAAGTTCCTGCGAAGGAGGAACTCAGAGCCCACCCTCAGGACCTCCCAACAACCAAAAATTTTTCTGACAAGCACGGTATTGAATCCCTAAAGATCCACATAACCGGTGATTGGTGTCTCCACTCTTCTGTAGAGGAATGAACGCTCCAGGACTGGGACGAAGGTCTCCTGTCACACTGCCTCTTCCTACCCGTCGATGAGGCGAAGCAGCTCAACTGATGGAGGCAAAGAAGCATGTCCCACCCTAGGATGGATTCCCACCATTGTTGCACCAAAGATTTTAGGCTACACCGGGCCAATCATTCTTTCAATCTTGGAAGGCTAGGGACATGTTTGACTTCAGTCCTGCATCTTGGAGACCGCCGACGGCTACCAAATGTCAACATGTTTGGGACGGCTCCTTTGACTATCCCGTCAACTCTTACCAGCCGGCTTTGACCGTTGTCCAACGGAACAATGTGTAGACTGTTGATTGATAAACCCTCCTAACATGAAGATGTTTTACAATCCAAGCATGAGAAGTTGATTCATCAACAGTCTATTGGCACAAACCCTTCCAACAAGCTACATCTGGGCACAAACCCGCGGATGCAAATAACTGATTACAGTATCAGGATTATGGTGATCATTCTCACGGCTCCGTCCACCTGCGGTGGTTCGTGAAGTCCGCGATGCGCCGATCCACCGGCGAGCCATGGTCTGGCACATAGGCCTCGGAGGACAGATCCGAACAGCAAGGCTACAAGAAGTGAAAGACAGTAGAACAACTCACAGATGAGGAGAGGTCGCCATAGCTACTTAGGATGGAGAGGTACTTAGGATGGGATGCCGAGGGTCATGCTCCGACTCCTACAAGATCATCCAAGAAGGATCTGGCCAGCTGCCAGCTTGATCCGAAGCCAAACAGCTGTGGACCGAGTTGATCTAGCATGATCTGTGAGCGATTTCCACGGCTACCTGTCTCGGACCCACCGCACCTCATTGGGAGGGCCAGGCAAGACCTGTGCGGCGTCAAGCGCCTCTTGTGGATGGTCCTGGTTCTTAGCAGTTCTGAAAAACGCAGGAGACTATGGTCCACTTCTGGTCCAATGACCTACCGCAAAAAAAAAGAAAAGAACAACAACACTGCTCGTGTTCTGGGCACGTTCTTTTAACACCCATTTGGTGGCACTGCCAGACATCGGATCACTTTGGACAACGACCACGGGCGCTTCGGACGACGACATTCGTCTCGGCTTGCTGCAGTGAAGGGCTGCCCGTCGCTCTCCGGACCTCCCCAAACAGTTTCAGCAGATGTTTGCATCAATTCCTAGACTTGCATAAGTACGGTGTACGGTATACGGTATGTAGACAGGAACGATTTCTTGGAACAGGATGATATCAAATTTGAAGTTTGAAACGCTGCATGCATCACTGTTGCAATCAGTTGCAATCATAGAAAATCAACCCGGCTATCGTGGCCATGGCTATCGTGGCCAGCCCTTTTGGTCCTAAGATAGAACCCTTGTTAAAACTGTTTCGGAATGATAGATATTTACAGATACAAACATATGTAACTATGACTATGATGCTATACATGTGTGGTTGGTGTCTGCCAGTTTCCCCCTCATTCTCTGACTGTCGCGCCTCTACTGAGGCGTTTCTGCTCGTCCAGCTCAGACTGGAGCCTGCCAGTGGTTTCAGCCACCAACCAGGCACCAACAGCCCATCCTCAGAAAGTAAGGACTGACCTCCCTGTCACTCTACTGGGGTCGCGGCTTCGAAACGGTCGTTGGCGCTAGGGCGGCTAGGGCGGTGGTTTGGGGTACGTTCCTTCCTCCTCTCCGTCCTTGCTTCAATCATCCCCAATGTTCAATGTCATCGGTTCATATCTTTTCCTGCAAAACATGCTTGCCACTCACTTGAAACCTCCTCCAACATCTTCAGACTGGCGAATGTCCATCACGCTACATGCAGCGAACCCTGCGAAGCCTTCCCTCGACAGGATTCAGCCTATGTTTGTTACCCAGGCCCACCGGGCCTGCGAATGATGTCGTCCTGCCCATTGCGGCCGAAGATGAGAAACCCCCTAAACTCATGTTAACTGTTGCTCTTGAAGACATGACTCCCTCTCGGGATTGTGTGAGCATTTTCATATTGGGGTGGTTTATGAATGATTCTATAATTTATAATCAACAGTCAATCTGAACCCAGGAGGGGGCCCTAGAAGCCCGACCGATGCGCACCCCGGACCGCCGGTCCCAGACAGCAAAAACACCGGGTTCGAATGGACGGGGGCGGAGCCGACAAAGGGTTCACCTGGCAAGCCTGGCCCGGAAAAATGCACCTAGCATCAATGAGCACCTGAAGACGAATGCACCGATATACCCATGGTTTGAAGGTGCTGCAGCCTGCAGCCTATCGGGCTGCGCCGTTAGTCATGTACAATATCCAAACTAATTGTGGTTAGCAACCCCAGCCATCCCCGGCACAGAATCAACAAGACTGTGGCACATGAACGTGAACATGTGGCGCCCACCTCCTCCTTTCATCCTCCTTTTGCTCACCCGAAGTCCCCACCGTGACTTCGGGAGCGCGAATTGCCGCGCGGCACGGCGAATCCACAGGCCTTCATGGCGACGACCTCCTTGACTCCAATCAAATGCCCCTGAAAACCACCACACGAGGGGGTTCCGGCACGGCCGCGCCGAAGGGGGCACCAAAAATACTTGTTTAATCTTTTTTAGGGCCTCCCCCCGTGTGGATTGGACATGGCCAAAGGGGGAATTTGAGACAATGTGTTTTCCGATGTGTTCAGAATATGTTCAGTGTATACATACAGCTACATACAGCGCATACTGCTACGAGTATGATCCAAACCCAACACGCTGACGCGCCTGCATTTGCTGCCCTCCCAAACTGCGGATGATGCGATCCTGAAGGGAAAAACCGGGGGGATCGGAACAAAAGAAAAAGTACAGTAACTCAACGAGCAAACCTGGACTCCCACAACCTGCCAGCAGTGGAGTTCTCATCTTGCAAGCATCTGTACAGCACAAAGCCCAAGGCAAGTCACCCTCAAATGCCGATTCCACATGCTGCAAACGGGCGCTCCACACCGCGAACGCCACGTCCTTCATGGTGATAATTTGCTGCAGCTCTCTGACCTCCTCCTGCTGTGGGATGATCCGGAAAAGACCGTGACAAATGTACCCGCCATGACGCGTCAAAGACACCAGCACTGACCGTGACTGCTTGGTCTCCGAAATCTGGTCTCTATTGGTGCTGGAGCGGGAGATGGAGAAATGAGCCACTCCCAAAAGAACCATATGTTTATATATTGCGTTTGTATGTGTTGCCTATGTGGACCACCAGGCTACCATATTTTTCTTGCCTCATGGTCGGGAAGGTGCCCTGGGGTGATGAACCTTGGCATTGTCAGGAATTGGACAGCCTGAAAGACTCTTGGTCTCAAAAGACCTTTCTTCATATTCATGTTAATGTTCATTCTTTCTCTAGTTCTCTCTCTCTCTCTCTCTTGCTTTATCCGTCTGATCAGCTGTGGTGCATGAGACTGCTTGACACTCACCCCTTCCACTTCCTCCCGCATAAAGGAAAGCCTCTCAAAAAGTATTTGAAGGGTCCCTTGTGCACTTACAGTTTCCAACCAGTGGGTTTGCCAAAATCAGTTGTTCTAGACCAGGAGACTCGAGGTAATTCCAGCTCAGCTGCAGCCTGACGCTCAACTCATCAACTCATCTGCTTTAAGGTCAAGACTTGCTCGGAGCGAGCAGCTTTCCAAAGAGGGATGGATGGACGCACCGGCGGCCATAAAGCAAAATCCCTCTCTGCCATGCAGCCAACTTTTGTGGCTGTATGACGGTGTGCGGAAATTGTCAAAAATACTAAAAGGATGCACCACAAGCTCCGGCCAGGGCAGACTTGCAACTCTACCACCTAAGGTCTTCCAACGCATTATCAACGCAAGACTAATTTACAGTTGCAACTGCGGTGGTAGCAGGGTCTGAAGACACACGAAGTTCCCCAGAACGAAAGAGAGCGTACGAGATCTCTCTTTTCCGCGGCCGATGCTGGAGCTCTTGAGTACCCGCCCTCTGGCGGATGAAAGGATTCGGAAAACACAAATTGACAGCTGAACCTCAAGTACATGGAGTGTACTTTACACTCTAAAAGGGGGGAAAACTGAGGAAAACTTCAGCTGTCGTCAGGCGAAACGAGTCCTGCATTTTGCATTTCTGTTGGCCAGGGACCTGGCCAACCGTGCATCCATTGGAACGCGCATGTAGTGCAGTAGCTCACTCGACGGACGTTCAGTGCTTGTCGTTGGAGCACTGGGCAGTCCGGGTTGTGGTGCCAGACACGACCTCGTGAGGCCATGAAGACTTCATCTCTCATTGGACAGGTCCGTGCGTGTTCCACCATTTCTCGCCAGCATCTCTGGAGAAGACCCTTGGCGTCCAACAGTGTCTCACGATAGTGAGATTCAGCTGCTATGCGGCTTCCTCCTGGGGCGTGAGTGGAGGACTTCTTTGGTGGTGTCGTTGTTGCAACTCTTGTAGTTCCGAGCGGGCCTGGTCCAGTTCTTGAAGGACGAGCTCGTTGGCTATGCGTTGTTCACGCGCAGCCTTTTGATTCTCAATGGCACGTTGCCGGTAGAGAATCATGGAATCCAGAGCTTCATCTCGGAGTTTCACTGCCTCTTGGACTGACTCCGTCAGGTTCTTCACGATGGGCGTGTTCCGCCTCCGTGTGAGCCAGTGGCCCAAAAGGCAGCTTGCTGCAGCAACAAAAACCATGACCAACCACCAGAGCCATCCAGGTCCTAGTGGCTTCTCATCACCACTGGCGGCGCGTGCCGGCGAGAGGGCCGACATCAGCAGCAGCGCAAAAAGCGCACGTCCATGGCTGGGAGGCATGCTACCTACAGCGGATCCGGCTACTTCAATCTCTTTGAGATTGGCAGACTGGGGAACCTCGAGTAGTGGTGACTCCTGCTTCAGGGACGTGTGCTCGTCGATTGTGGCTTGTAGTGGAACTTGGTGTTGTGTTTGTGAGTTGTAGGTGGTTGTGTCATGTTGTCCTGTGGTTGTGAACTCGTTTCGACTGCTCCATCGGCTTTCTAGCGGCTTCTTCTTTGCCGCTGTGTATGTCGGATCCCAAGTGTACTTGATGGATCCGTGTCTGAGTCTGTCGGCCAGGAGCTGCCTTGCTGACAGCTTTGTCAGTCCGTCGCCGTACTGGCGTTCAGAGCTGACCCATTTGAGTCTTCCGCCAAAACTCTCAACTTGTTGGTGGGTCACTTTCACTTCCAGGGCTGTGCGCTTGTCGTTGGAGCCGTGGTTGAAGGCATCTCTATGGTAAGTGTCATACAGAGCTTTAGCATCTGTAATCAGCACTGGTTGAAGTGAGCTCTCTGTCACGGCCAGGTTGGATTTCAACTCAAGCTGAGGATTGAACAGCTCATTCCAAAAGCGAACAATGAACTCGACATTGTCTGCAGCAGCACTTGAGGCTTGGGCCTCAGCAGCCAGTGAACTTCTGGCGACCCTTGGAAGCTTCATGGACTTCCAGTCCAAGACATGGTAGGGTGTCTCTACACCTTCGAAGGCTTCCTTGTCAGTCAGGAGGCAGATGAAACCACCTGCGTCGAACATGCAGCTGAGTCGGAGGTCTTGGGTTGCGCCAAGGGGTGGATAGCGCAGGGTCACATCGCTGTTGTCCTTGGCAAATCTTAGGAGCTTGTTAGCTTCAAAAAGTGGTGCTGCCAGACCGGTGCTCAGTTCGCCTGAAAGGATTGAGGTGCTGGCCAAAAGGTGTGGGCTCGACTGAACTGCTGGCCATTGGAGGCTGCCCAAGAAACCTCTGAGCAAGCTCTGCTCTTTTGGGGTCATTGGTGAGTGAGTTTGGCGGCCTTTCTCAATGGTCAAGGGCTTGACCTTTCCAAAGAACTTCTGGTGGCTCACAGTCCAAGTGCCGTCCGTCGACCGAGACATGTCCGCACCACAGTATTCAAAAGACTCATCTTGCTGCCAGGTGCGGAAATTGAACATCTTCTTGATTTCGGTCTCCATGCGGCAGTAGACAGCTGAGTTTTTGTCACCGCCACCCAACATGTCATCGACATGTAAACAAAGAAGTCCCACCAACTTTGGTGTGGAGGCATCACCGTCTTGCGGCTCAAACAATCTCCAAAAACAGGGGTCAAGGGAGTGCTGTTCCCAGCCGAGCTGCTTGAGGCGTGAACTGGCTTCCAAAAACCATCGACGAGCTTCGTCCAGTTGTCCGTACACGGGTTTGTGGAGGAACATTCTTGTGTTGGAGTCTGCGCCCAACAATGCCAGTGCATCGGACGGCAACCTCACCCATAGCTTCCGTTCTTGTGGAAGGCCTTGCAAAAAGGCAGTTGAAACATCGGCGGACCATCCGGTCCATCCGAGGCAGCTGCTCAAACTCAAAAACAGATTTCTGCCGAGGCGAGTGGATGCAGGTGAGGAGGTTTCGAGTGAACCTGCCAATGCATCAACGTCAGCGTATCCCCTCACCACCAGACGAGCCTTTGCTCAGGGACTGCCGTCGGCATTCTTGCTCCATTTGAGCAGCATTCTGCTTGTGAGTGTCCTTTCGGGTGTGGCTTCCTTGGTGGTCTGAAAACTCCACACCCCGTTTTCAAAAAAAGAAGACAACTCTTTTTGCTTGGCCTGTTGGAAGAGCAGGCGATGTTCCAGGGACAGTTCACGCTCCCTGATTTCGCCTTTGTTTTTCTGCATCTTCTCGTCGGCCATAGCCTTTTGCATTCGGCCCAACTGCTTGGCTGACTGGGTGTCATGGGTAGTCATGCCCATCTCCTTACGAGTGTCTCCGTTGATCTGGAAGATTGTGACACCAGTCCAGGCTTTTCTGGTTGGGGTACCAGCTCCATTTTGCCAAACATCAGATTCCTGCTTGAGCTCTTGGCCTGTCTTCCGCACAGTGATGCGGATGGAGTCCAGCTTTTGCAGGGAGACTGGAAGGTGTTGGAGCTCTCTTTTGTTGAGCTGTTGAAGGCCGAACTTGGTTCGTCGAGGCACGACGTGGTGGCGAATCAAACAACCACCTCCCAGTAGTCTTGAGGACTGCGGTCCATGGTGATGAAGCCATCTTCCATGTGCCATCCGGGCGGTAGGAACGAAGGGTCAAGTGCATCGACCTCAAAACTGTGTCCAATGACATCGTCAGTGCCCGATGTGAATGGCTTGTCATAGGGACCGGCTCTGTGGTTGGAGGCGCTGGTTGTTTCTGGTTGTGATGCCTGAGGGATGCCACGATAGCGTCGATTGCCGAATGAGATGGTCTCTTGTTGGTCATATCGTCGTCTCATCAGCTCAAAACGCTCACCAGGTTGAGCTGGCTGGTACAGGGCCTCTGTGTCTGGGTCCAGCTGGGACGCTGGATGGTTCTGGCTGGCCCTTGAGTGAGGCGGACTGGGTTCTCTGGACGGTTCGTTCAGAGAAGGTGTGTCCGGTTGGTTCTCTGGAACTGCTGGTAGTGCCTCAAGTGGTAATGCAAGTGGCGCCGGACTTGTGGTTGGTGGAGCCTGTTGTTGTGGTTCAACCCCTTGCTGACTGTGTGCAGGGGATGTAGGAGCGTACTCCAAATCCGGTTCGGACTGTATTGGTTCATCATTTGGCGCAGGCTGAGTGGCATCATTGAGCGCAGGTGCTACAGCTTGTGGGGAACCAATTGGTGCTTCAAGTCGGCGTCTTTGCAAAGGAGGCTGCAAGTCTTCCTCTTCTTCTTCCAATTCTTGTTCAATCTCTTCCTCTTCCGACTCTAAGTCTTCGATGCGACGTCGGTTGACCACATTGAGATCCAAGAGTCTGGTGACTCCTCTGCTCTTCAGCTCTGACATAGCCTTCTTTGCTTCTTGGATGCCGTTGATCAGGGTGTCAGTCTCTTTCTCCAAGGCTGGTCGTAGGTGATGAGGTGCACAACGGAGCAACTGGGTCTTGTGGCTGATCCAGTAGAGACAGGGTTTGCCATCGTCACCATCTTCTCGCATCAGGACTCTTGCGGGGCCTTTCCATCTGACCTTGACCAGGTCAGCCGCTCTGGCATCTCGCCAGTAGTAGCAAAGTTGACCAGGCTGGAAAACAATGCTGGCGCCGAAGTACTT